TATTCCCAGTTAAGTGAAGGGAAATGCGTGTGTCCTCACGAATGTGGCTCATCGGTGCCTCGGAAGAAGAGCGACTTTTTCCCGCTCTTTGTAAGTTGCCGGTCTCCCAAATGCCCCATCGCTGATCAGTCCTCAGCCGGAGTTTTCTTCATACATTACACACCTTCAAAGTGTCGTACAAAAGACATGTCAGCGCTGCCACTCCGAGTTTTGCTTTGCCTGCGGGGAGCCCATAACTGAGAAGGTGCAGCGCCCCGGGGCCGCAGCCCCTGGCGATCCCTTGTTCCACTGTGCCGATATACAAGGCGTCATCCTTGGTGTCGGTCTGTCCATGCTTGAGCAAATGTTCTCTGAACAGTCTCAAGATTCGAGTGCCTCGCAGGAGCACAAGGCTCGCAACAGCAAACGTAGGAAAACTGGAAAGCTGCAATCAAAGGACGCTGACGACGACGACGACGATGACGACGGTATTCATTTCTTCAACCGTTTGAGCCCTGGTGGAAAGAGAGCGAAGGGTGGGGTCGGCTATGCCGGCGACCAGAAGGAGGATGCAGGTTGCCCTCTTCTTTCGCCCGGACGTTTATACTAATTATCCACTTAGAATTCGGGCCAATTAGAAGCCCAGGCTCAGCAGGCTGCGAAAGACGAGAAGATTGGGAAACTCCTCACGGAGATTGGAGTATACCTCCCGTCTCTGCATCGCGAGGGTCATCATCCAAGCGATTTCCTTCCGCACCCAACGGCTTTAGCGCATCTCCGAAGACGGTTCAACTACGTGTCTAGCGCATTGCTAAGAAACGATTCTTTGGCAGACATGTCGGAGCGTTCTGTGTTGTACTTCAAATTGCTTGAGTGGCTCGAGGTAGGCTTACTGTGATTCACAGTGCCATGAGCTTATTCCTTTATCTGTGCAGACCATATCTAGCCATGAGGCACTGGCGAGTATGATGGCCATGCCGATTATGACAGTGGCGTCTGTTAAGTCGGTCACGACCAGGAAATCGCCCAATAACACACCTATTCGTGAACGAACCATTATCTACGAGGGTAGTGCTGGACCGCGAGAGCTGCTTGAAGCTATCGCTATTCAAGCCCATGCTGCGCTCAAAGCCTTGGAGGGTGCCAAAGCCCCGGACATCCCCGACGAAGAGCTGACAGAGGAGCAGAAGCGGATGACGGTCGATTCAAAGGGCAAATCCAAGGAGGTTTCTGCCCCGGTCGCGGACGAGAACCAAAAGCTGCTGAGTTTCTGCCAGCGGATTCTCGGGACTGCAAACGCTATTGATCGATCGCTGCGCGAGACCAAGGGAGATGCCTTCGTTGAGAGGCTACACGCTTCGTTACCCAAGATTCTAACATCATCCTCCGATGACGGAATGTTGGTTGACGCGGGCGCAACGGAAGAGAGTGCGACCAAAGCGTACGTGGAGTGGGCCACTCGGGTCAGATTCGAGTACTGTGATCTGACAATCCCGACGACGACACCGCCCACAAATGACAACGAACCGCAACTGCCGCATTATAAATCGTACTATAACAATGAGATCCGCATGCTGGCGTTGTCCGACATTCCTAAGCGATCTCTTGCCATCGCAAAAGAGGCGAGTCTATCTATTACCATAATATTTGCACTGCTTCCTAACATCCGACATCCAAAAAGCTCTCAATTTTGACAAACAATCTGCCCATAGCATGGAACTCGTCCATATTTTTGCGTATCGACGAGACCCGAGTTGATGTGATCAAGGCCCTTATTACGGGGCCCGAAGGCACACCGTAAGTGGTTGTTCATTTATGCATTGCATTGTTGCCGATCTCTGATGATTTGTGTCTAGATATTACAATGGCTGGTGAGTTGATGGTCTTCCGTGCAACGAAACTGCACTCAGATCGAGAAATAGTTATCTATTCGACATATTCCTCGGTCCAAGCTACAACCAATCGCCTCCCAGTGTCAAGTATATGACTGTGAGTTTCACGCGAAATCCCTCGCTTTCCTGATGCTCACAGTAAGATGACCTAGACCAACGGCGGTAAATACCGATTCAATCCCAATCTCTATGCAGTACGTCCAGCGAGAGTATGGTTAATATATGTTTACCATCCTCTTGAACAGGATGGGAAGGTTTGTTTATCATTGCTGGGAACGTGGTCCGGGCCTGGTTGGGTTTCTGGAAGGTCGACACTACTGCAGGTGAGTTTTCAGCTTTGCACATATAATTCTAATGATTCATTTATCGGGACAGGTCCTCATCTCGATACAATCGATGATTCTCTGTGAAGAACCCTATCTCAACGAGCCAGGATGGGCATCGAGCGGCGGAAGCCCGCAGTCCCGTGCATGTGTGTGATTCCTTTCGTCTACCGTAGGGATCATCCTAACCTTCCCAGACTCCGCCAATGTCCGGCGAATGGTCGTCAAGACAGCGGTCCGTATTATCAGCTGCCAGCTGTTTCTGCTCCGCGACTCAATTATTATTTTCTTCGCAGATGCTGGGCAACCTGCAAAACCCGCCCGAACCTTTCGCCGACATCATCCGCACACATTTCCGACTGAAGGCGCGCTCCATCGCAGCACAGCTTGATGAATGGCTTTCCCTGGATGATAGTAGGCAAACGCTTGGGGATGGTGCGGGTTACTCGGGAGGAAGGGTGGAGGCTGCTGGGCAGAGCTCGAACGGACTGGCGTCGGACGTGGCTGAGATGAAGCGACTCCTGAAGGACTTGCAGCAAACTAGTCGTCGAGCTTAACGCGTATTCGTTTGGTAGCCGTACAGAATAATGTAAAAGAAATTGAACCGAACCGATGGCATGTGATTGCTACAGAGTCATGCCAACTTGGGAAACGCTTATTTGCCGAAGCATCGTTCACGTTCTTTCCGCCTCTCTCTTTCGCTCACCTCTTTAACACGCAAGCCACGCGCCTTCAAGCCTGAGCTCTCCTTGGAAATGAGCGATTCTGTTATACATGCTGTCGCTGGCGGTGCCGCAGGCATCGTCGCAATGTCGTGCACCTAGTGAACTCCGTTCAATTAGCGCCTGAATTTGCGCTGATCACTCCGCAAGCCCGTTGATATTCTTGTCCACTCGGGCAGCCGTCGAAACGAAGAATGAGTCCAAGGAAGGTCCACTTGTCTATCTCGATCTCAAGGCTCATTAATATTGGGATTTAGTCCGTCTACCAAGCTGTACTCGACATCATCAAGCGTGAAGGAGTTTTGGGTCTATACAGTGGACTGGGATCTAGCCTGTGGGGCATCGCAGGTACCGTTTCCAATTCTTCCATGCAGTGGACTTGGCTCTAGCCTGGCGTCGCAGTCACCAATGGGTTTGTCAAATAATCCGAGCCGAAGCCTCAAATTGACGGTTTGGAAGTGTATACTACTATTTCTACGAGCGTTCTAGAGGAATGGTTCAAAGGGGAAAAGCTCTGAGCACTCCAGAGTCAATTTTGATTGGAATCATTGCGGGTGAGAATTATGCTCTTGCGAACGTTCAAGATTTAAAACTGGGAAAGGATCTGCAACCACAATTATCAGTAATCCCATCTGGGTAGGTCGGCTACGGTGTCGGTTGACAGATCTGACTTATCCCGTAGGTGGTTCAAACCTCTCAAGCCGTGCAGACCTTGAACCAAGCCGAGCCTTCATTGGATCCTCCTCGTCCCAAGGTTGTGAAAAAGCTCTCGATTGTTGAAACAATTCGAAGTATACTAGCCAAGGATGGCATTCAGTAAACCTTTATTGACTTGAATATTTCTATCGGTACTGAGATGTTTTCAGGGCATTCTGGCGTGGCATTGGGCCTGCGCTGGTGCTAGTCATCAACCCTGTACTGCAATACACTGTGTTTGAACAGTTGAAGAATTTCCTTGTCGCCAGAAGGACGGCCAAACTCAGGGCGGCTGGGGTCGCCACGGCTGTAGCCGTGTTAACTGACTGGGATTTTTTTCTGCTTGGCGCCTTATCCAAGCTTGGTGGGTGTCTTTCAGGATTGCTGTCTGAAAGTCATTCAAAAATCCTCACAGTTGCCACCTCCTCGACTTATCCTTACATGTATGTGGGTTGATCTGTTGGCCGTTCATGTCGTTAACATCTGGTTAGTGTCGTGAAAAGCCGTCTTCAAGCGGGCCATGCAAATGCGCTCAAATATAAATCTTCGATAGATGGGCTTCTTACCATCCTCAAGGAAGAAGGGATTGAAGGGCTCTACAAAGGCATCGGTAGCAAACTCACACAGAGTGTTCTGACAGCTGCCATTTTGTTCGCGGGCCAGCGCCGGATTTATGAAATTACCAAGAAGGTGCGAAGATGGTTTTGCTCAACCTTTTCGCCTCTAATTCAGAGCAACCCATCTATCAGACCATTTCTGGATAATGTACATACCAAGATGTTTATAGCATTGTAATACGCGTCATGTACTTTACATTACCTCGCCTTGTTCTACCCAGAGAATATATGCCTGTGGTGCTTGGCTTTTTTGATGCTGTTTACGGTTTATCCGTTCTCTTCGAGTTAGCGAATAACAGGTAACGAGGTAGGTAGGTAGGTATACGGTCCCAGTAAGAAACAGCCGGGGCCTGTACTACATACATCGCGTCAGGTGTATGCTACGGATACTATCATTCTCCAATCCCTTGAACACCCGAGTAACCCCCCTGTGTCTCCCGCAACGTCACGTACAAAATAAAATAAAATACAGGCTGGGATTTTGAAGCAGCGAGAAATCCTCAGGGCTCCTCAGGGTCGCAGGTAATAAACAGGTTGTGCCTCCTACCAATGGCCATGTGCAATGTTAGTATTACTGCGGCATTAATGCGGCCTGTAGTGATTATTTAAATGCGGACTTTGTTTATTCGGGAAATATTGATGTTTCGAACAATCACGATGAAACATCGCAGTCTCCATGGCAACCCAATGAAAGCGAATGAACCTGAAATTTAGGCGTCCTGGTACAAAGTCGTCCTGGTACAAAGTGCCAAAAGTTGCTTTCCTTTGCATCCGACTTTAGCTCAGTTGGAAGAGCATCAGACTGTAACGGTTAACTGGAATCTGGGTGTCGCCTGTTCGAACCAGGCAAGTCGGATTCTTTTGGAGATTTAGAGTATCATTTTCTGGCGAAGCCAGAAAATGCACAAAGTCCGAAATTTTGTAGAACTTGTACATTTTCTTTGAAATTCTTTTATATCATTTTAGAAAGTGGGAATTGCACTAAGCCCGAACCGAACAAGTCGGTTTGTTCTGCGCCTTTGCAAGAGGGTCTTTTTCATCCTACGGACCCTCTGGATCGTCGAGACAGGCAGCCGATCAGCCGATCCCTGTTTACACCTTTATTGCTAATTGTTCAGCGAATTCTCACAGGAATATTGAGTCAATTTAGTCATTAAATGCTCCGTACGGATGTAATTTAGTCGCCCAGACAGCGGAATATTTGAAATTTACATGCCCGCGAACGAATCAAGGCGGAACGCCGAGTCGATATGTACTACATGTTTTGATGAATTGGAACTTGATCTAATCGAGCCTTTCCCCTCGAGTAAACATTACAGCGCACGCCTCTACTGGCCGCCGTTGATTGACTCTCTTGGATCTATTTTTCACGTCCTTACGCTTCGTTTCCAGTACATACCCCGATTACTATTTTGGACTCTAATTTATTCCAGCTTGAACATGCTAAACTTGCCACCAAAACACCCCGAGTGATTGGGGATCACGTCTTCGGAAGGATTCTGTGTCTTTGCTTCTGGCCTGACTGCAACTAGAATTGCGTTTAACGATCGAAGAAAATTGCCTAATTTGGAAGCGGGCGTTGTTTGTTCCTATTCCGGCTTGGCACTCCCACCTTTCTTCCGCCCTTGCTTCCGCCCAAAAATCTCCCCACTGCAGTCCACCACGGGCTTCAGCTGTGTCACCTGCTGGCAGTGGGGCTCATAGATGGCTGTCAGCCTGCCAGGCTCTGCCCTCCTCCGAGTCTCCCAGCACTGGATAATTTGTCTTAAAGATCACCATCGAGTCCAAAGTTCATCATCCGTCCGCCATTATCCGACCGGCGAACTGCGCTGTACCGTACGCTCTGCGCGATTTGTCTTTCTGGGGCAGGCCAAAGTTTGCGACCGCTGCTGGGGGTCCTCCAATCGGTCACATTAAGGGGGGCAATCAAAAGCCGCGACTGCAATTTGGCCCACAATCATTCATCCGTGGTTTGATTCAGCTTTGAGGAGTCTTTGACAAAAAATGCGCTTCTCATTTATCTGAGTCTTATCTCCTGGAACCTCTTATCAATGAATAATTGGATTCGTTTTAGGTAGGAGAATCTGGCTTTCTATCTCAGGCGACTTTCTGCGAGAATCTATTGTTGGAAGACTATGTCTGATTGGCGCAATGTATACTGTGTTTTTCCCGTACTCGATATCCTCCTTCGCTAGCACTACTTGGCTATTCCCGCCGTCTTTCCGAAGAATCAGAATAAAAGCTTCAAAGTGGTCATCTTTGTGTTGACCTACTTTGCCCGTTCGTGCGCAATCCGAACCTGCCTCTTTTGAACGGACTTTTTCGATGCCAAACCGACCATAGGCATTTTATTATCCGAGTGAGCCTCGGAGCGCGGGTTCCTTGAAGCAATCTTCTGGTTCCGGTTCCTGGGCAACTGATTTATCTCGGATGCCTTCTCGTCATCCGAGTCTGTGGTTCCTAAATCATGTGTTATTCGCTGGCATTCAACGCATCCAACACTTTACAGAGTTATTTGAATTTGTTGGTGCCTCGACCGGTCCTCTACATATTTCACGAGAACCTTGACGCGTCGGATTGCCCTTGACAGAGAGGCAACGCGATGTGGGTGAATTTGCAATGTTAGGAAAGTTAAAGTAGTTGATTTTTGTGCAGCATTACAGTACCATCGATCTGCTCAGTGCTGAAGTCTAGACTGCAGACTCCAGTTTCGAAGATTCCAATCTTTATAAAATAGCGTGTATCCTGAAGCCTTTAACTCCGCCAAGTTCTCGCCGTGTCGAGACTTTTGACGTCGAACCATCTACCAACAGGACAGCGATTTGAGATTTATTGGTGCCGCTTCAGAGCCACATGATTCATATTCTAGTGAAGTGCCGGCCCCGGCGCGCTCTTGTACCCATCATGATTACTTAGAGCGCCAAACGGTTGTGTTTCCGACGCTTTCCGTTCAAGTGCTCGGCTTTTGCTTGCTCGGGGAGTCGACAAAATTGCCTGGAGGTTATCCCGTCACAGGAGAATTTCGCTTGGATGCCTGGTTAGAACCCAAAGAGCCTGTTCGAACCAGGCAGGTCAAAGGCAGGTTCCTAATTTGGCAGTGGGCGTTGTTTGTGTTTGCTGGCTCATCACACGCGCAACTCTCACGAGGATGAGTCGGAAGGTGCTCAACGCTGTGGCCTTTATATCTCCGCAGAACCATCCTATTCTCATCCGTACATTTGCGAAGCAAGACGACCATGCCATAAAGTATCACTACATTGCGCACACGAGTTTAGACGTGATCGAAGAGCGAGGTTGAGCTTCTTCTTCGTTTCACTCCGCCTTTTGACCTTTCAAGTAGTGGCGGCCGGAGGAAAGTCGACTGAATGTTATCTAGGCCTGCTCTATTCTATGGAGGACGTTGCTGTTTACGGGTACATCACACCTCTGAAAGTCAAGATTGTGATTGCGTTGGCTCTGTCAGATTCCGTTGTGCGCGATGTTGAGGTCAATATGGTGCGCCAACATCCGCATAGTCCCGTTCTCGACGCTGAGTGATCTTTAGATATTCAAGGCACTTCACATGGCGTATTATTCTGCGATATCGAACCCTTTTTTGAAACTAGACGCACCTTCAGAGGCGACAAACGACCATTCACCATACCTGCTTGTTGGCCGCTCGAACTGGAAAAACTTTCGCCGGCGCATTGACGAAATTAGCAGAGTAGTTGGTAGCCCTTCCAGCGCCTGATACCCTCTTGGTTTCCCCATTCGCAGCACATTCCTTGACAAGTGTTGACCTGCGATGGGACGCTTCGGTGAATGAAACCTAATATCAACATACCTTCTTATTGACTCAGTTGACACAAGTTCTCCGCATCTGAGACAGATACGGGGTAGATATTTATCACTTGTACTTATGTGTGTATTACCTACCCATTCTTGCCTCCTCCAGTTCTGCAAGTCCTTCAACGGCCTCTCGTGCCATCACCCTAACTAGCATGTCGCCATCGGTGGCGGATACGTACGTCAAGGTAGTTCTTATGCGATTCAACAGCCTGCCCGAAAGCTCTGTATGGGTTGAGTCGTATATTTGTCTAGTGGTTTCGCGAATCAAGAGCCCAAGAAAGTGTAGCGCTGCTCGTCGAAAGAGGGGCAGCTTTGAGTCCGCCGAGGTCGGATTGGTGTCTTCTGACTCTTTAGGAAGCGTGGAACTACTCTCGACCTGCAGCAGATCGATCATGGCTTCCGAGAGGTCGGTGACATATGAGGTGAGAGCCAAGGGACAAGTATTCTCACACTCAGCCAGCAATGAAAGGGCTGACGTTCTGAGGGTTGTGGGAACCTGTGTCGACCGAACAACATGGGATAGTCGAGGGACCAATATATCAACTGCGAATCTTCAGCTCGGTGGTGTATCGTTCAGAGCAAAGAACATACTGAATGCCGGCAAAGCAGAACCACATCTCTTGATCACAGACGCAAGTGCCTCCCCGATTCTGATGCGGATATCCATGTCATGTTGTGTTATATTGTTAGCACCAAGCCCATCGAGACCCTGGCTATATTCTGTCACCAGTCCCTTGAGTACGTCTTTGCCATATGTATCCACCATGGCCGCAAGGCCCTGTACAGCATTGAGGAACATGTACGAATCGTCGTCCTGTACAGATTGGAGAAAAATGGATAAAATGGCTGGAATCAACGCTGGATCCGATATTTGTGCTCCGTGGGACTTTTGCGGGGTGACTAGCTGTCGAAGTAGCAACAACCCATGAGCTCTGACCGGCAATATAGGATCTTGGAGGAGTTTGAGAGCCTTCTGGTAAATTTCTTGGCTATTGTTTCCCTCGCGAGGGCTTCGTTTCGGGGAAGAAGTGGAGGCCAGACGAGCGGTCATGACCATCCTTGCTTCCCGTGCTAATGGCTGGACCGCAGGCGACCCGTTCAAGGACAGTGGTTCCAACAAGGTGAATATCTCATTAAGGACAGGTGCGGTCCTTGCGGAGAGATCCTCGTTAGCTGAATAAATCAGGTCAGAGCAATAGCTTCAACGAGAGATCTAACCTTCAAGTACTGCTAGAAGCAGGCTGACGGACGTCTCGACTATTTCATCGTCCGGGGCAACGATCTCTAGGCCAGGTGTATCATCGTCGCTGTCGGCGTCGTCGTCCTCGGACTGATTAAGGTTCAGTTGAAAGGGATGAGTATTGGTCTGTTTCCTTGTCTCGGATTCAGGACCGCGAGACTCTAGAGCATGCTTCACAAAAGATAGTATGTGAGCTGGTTTTCCGAGGATCGTAGAGGGCCCAGTCCGAAAGCTGGGTCTGCATTTGAACGACCAGTTGCAGGTAGAGGAGAGTTCTAAACACGTATGAGAATGGGCCAAAGCTTATATGAGGGACCAACCGTGTGGGATCGCCATCTGTCTCCGACTTGGAGTCACGATACGACTCCAATAACCGCACAAACAAATCGGATACTATATCGGTGCGTTGCATGGATTTCAGAAAACGGACAAAATGGACAGGATCTGGGTACAGGTCTAAAATATTGGCATCGAGATCGATCTCGTCATTCGCCGGGGTCAGAAGTGCCAGGAGGGTTGCCTTTTCAGATCTACAATTCGATGAGCGTACGAAAATGCATTAATTTTTGTTGCTCACTTTTCGAGGCGAGTGATCTGGCCTTCAAGATCTACCCGCCACTCGCCACCTTGACCTTCAATCACAGACCACAATACTGCAAGGCCTTCTGTGGTATTGACGACCCTACCCCACGTCTCAAGTAGTCCCCGCAGCATTTCTTTTAGACTCGGATCGGACGTCTTGATTTGGTCCAAGTGGTACAGGAGCGAGTACAATGCGGAGACAATAG